GAACCTCATGAGGATGAAGTTCCTCCGGATGGAACGAAAGGCACAAATTGAGTCTGCCCTAGACTATACTCATCAATAGATGGAGGAGGTGATGGTGAAGTTGGGTCTCTATACCCCGGATAGATAGGCTCTTCTGGAATGTACTCCATATTTTGATTCAGATCAAGCTGTACACGAGGCCCAACCCGTTGTCGGCTTGCTTGACGAGCAGTCCGAACACCATTCTCAGTACCTCGATCAGTCGCTCATAAGTCCACCATTAAGTCGTAGTGCTTGATACTATTAACTCTCCACTTTGCCACACTTGGCCTCGATTGAAAGAACATACATTACAAATATTAACAACATATTAAGTATTATAAGAATCAACCAAATATGAGTATTTAACAAATACCTGAATGAGGTCCTCCTAAACTTCGTCCTCAGCTTGAAATCTCATACTTACAGGGTTCTAGGCAAATCCACTCAATCCAGCAAAGAGGTCATGTACCTCACGCCATTTATCTTTCAATACTTTCTGACGATTTTTGACATTATTTTTCGTAATGGCTAATACCCAAAGCTATGAAGATGATCAACAATGTTACTATATGCTTCAGATGTCCAACTTCCATCAACCCTATTACCGAGTCGTGATTCCTCAATCATGGTATGTAGAAGACGTGCGTCCATGTCCTCTGTCCACTTTATGAACTCTCTAGTAAGACCAGAGGAGTGAATGGCTACTACCTTACCTCGGTTCATTTTAAACCTAATTGATATTAAAATAAAATAGTCATACAACAAACATAAAAGCAAGTTCTTGTGATATTCAAATAAAATAGTCATACAATACAATAAAATACAATAACTACGAGTTTTGATAATCTCGCCACATTTGATCTGCTATGGAATCCCTTATACTACAACCAATCCTATGATCCTCTTCTCTAACTTGAGATGATGAAACATTATGGTCTTCCCTTTCATTCAACTCATTATCAACTTCTTCAAGTAATGAGTCATCGTTATCCACGCCACGAAGGAAGTGTTGTAAGATACAACAAGCTAATATAATGTCTGTCATTGTCTCCAATCCATAGTGTGGTTCAGTTCCTCTTTCAATGATATGGAATCATTTTTTCATCACACTAAAAGTTCTTTCAATATCATTTCTCAACGATGAATGTCGATTATTAAACAACTCGCGTGGATTCTGTGGTCCTCTATGTGTATATTCTTTAAGGTGATATCTGACGCCTCTATATGGAGTTAAAACTGTGCTTTTCAACATAAATCCACCATCACCGAGGTAGTATTTTCTTACAATGTTGTACACAGGTATTTAGTGACTAATGAATAAAATCTTCAAGAATGCAATATACACACTAACCTTGGGGGATAACCAACGGATCCTCTCGATCAAGAGCATTTTTTAAAATTCTAGAGTCAGATGCAGTGTCTTCCCATCCAGCTAGAATGTATGTGAATTTCATATCAAAATCACAAGCAGCAAAGACATTTTGAGTTGGCCAATCTTTTATTCCTTGAAATCTTGGAGCCTCTAATCTTGGCACTTTTACACGAACATGAGTATCGTCTATGGCCCCTAAACAATCCTAAATAAAAAATTAAGTAGTCATTTTAAAACTCAAAATTTGTTATCATCCATCGATAATATAGCAACTTCAAAAGTGTTCATTTGCTAACCTTAAAGTACAGGTAAAATCGAATGTTGTTCAAGACATATGAATGAACCTCATTTCCTGAGGGTTGAATTAAAAATTCTGATTCCAAAGTTAAAATAGCATCCAACACACTGTGAAAGTGTTTGTTAACCGTCGAACCAGATCGATGAAAGAAAAATGCCACATTCGATTCTTAACATTATGGCCAATGATATGAAGAAATTGAGCAACTTGTTCCTCCACTATCGGCCGAATGACGTCCTTAACTAACCCAGTTGATCTTAGTCTCTCACAAAGATTAATAAATGCCTCTAGACCCATCCAAATAATGTCTCGGCACCGATTAGTATGCACAAGGTTTGACATTAATTGTTGCCTATGACGGTCTCTATTTGGTACGAAATTGCTCACACTACTCGAATCACTCGAGTACATATTCAAGATACTCAACACATGTCCAACAATGCAAAACATTGTTACTGCAGCCAGTGGAGTGGTTATTTGTAATTGCTGACGTAACGTTGCTACTATATTGAAGTCTACACCAACCACATCATCATCTATATCTTCACGGTCCAAATATGATAAATCTATTTCTTCTTCCATCTATATTTACTTAACAAAATATATACATTTTAACAACTTTATACATACCACTTTGATTAAAGTCAACAATATCATTAAATTCATATATTCATATAATCATCTCCTATAAGGCAATATACGACAATATTCATGCATTCATATAATAATTAAACAAAATACATTATATATATTCAGTAAATAAACCACATTCATGCACATTAATTAAATATACTAATATGAAACACACCTATTCAAGAAACTTATGAAGCTTTGATCCAAGATTTGAACCAATATTTGAACCAATATTTGAAGCAAGATTGAATACACACTCACAGTAAGATCCTACTAAAATACTAATTTCAATTGTCAATATTGAAATAAAAGAGTGACAATTCCAAACGAAACCTGTTAAAAAAAGAGATCAATATCTTATATCCTATAATGGTTGAAAACAAAAAAAATACTTTGTCAAATATCTACCTTCCATTCCCTCTACACGCGGCTTCAATGAACTCCACACAATGACTCAACACAGCAACTTAGGAAGCTCAACCAGTTAACGCTAAAAAATTATTAACATACAACCACCAAGCTTTTTCAACCTCAAAGATGCTCTAAACATAGTATAAGAGGCAGTTCAGTACTAAGCTACACATGGGAAAGACCAAGATTGTCTTTAACAAAAAATAAAGGAAATTGACACAATATATCTCCCTAACCTGGACAACTTACTTATCCCTCACTTCACCTTCGTAGCTTACAAAATACTTCCCCTCCGTTGCTTACCAAATGCACCTTATTGTTACCATACAAATGCTTAAGCCTACTGCCATAAAAATCCATATTCAAAAACTACCTCTGTCCCTATATGTGATTCCTCATGCATGTACAAGTCAATGGAACCCATATCTAGCCAACCCGTACACCAGAAAACATTGTTGTATGTTGCCCTTCACCCTCCACACAACCGTCCTACTCCGTCTAATGCCACCTCCACCTAAGGCCACCTTCATCCCCATCAGCCTCACTATACTATTGCATCGACCATACTCTTATGCTGCGGCCAGGACCACCACATATCCTTCACCGCACAAACCTTCATCCTCTTCTCCATGCCACACATCTCCCTGCTCTTCGTCATCCTTTTGTCCACATGTCTGTGTGGAATGGTGGTCATAATAGCACACCTCCATCCTCCGCGGCCTTCTCCTCAACCTTCACGCACCGTTGCTTGCATGGCGGATGAAGACGTTTGACAGCGACGGCACCAACCTCATAACCGTAGCACCCCATGGATGGTTGGTTACACGGTTCTACATCTTCAGTTTTGGCGACAGAGCTACTATTCCAGGTATGGAGAACCGCTTACTGGAACCGTCATCCGCAGAATCGGATACGAAGCACGCACACCCCACACTCATAGCTATATGGAACCGGATATGTGAGCCACATAACCGAATACACCTCCTTCGCAAAATCTTCCTATGGCTGGAACCGGATACACTTCACACTGGAACCGAATACATCAACATCTCTTCTGCTTCAAGCTTTCATCTTCCTCATCCGCTTGCCTCCTCATCATCAACTGCCTTCCTCCTCGTCCTTCGTCTTCTTCATCCGCTGCCGTGGTCATCATCAACCGCCTTCTTCCTCGTCCAAACACCCCTCTCTTTGTCTTCACCACTTGAAGACCTCTTAAACCTGCAACAACCACATAAATGTTTGCGACAAACATTACCTCAGATCAAGATTTCCACAGCTGCTCACTCTCAAGTGAAAACTTCACCACACACACAAGTCTCACTCGCGCAAAGCTCCGCAAAGTAAACACACTCTCTCACAGTTAATACACACACCAAACTTATCTACCAACATCGTCTTATTAATGGTGTTCATGGTCAGAGCTTCTTTTTAAAATTCAAACACGAATCTCTCCTTTGCAGTGAATGGTTGTGTCAACCTGAGAATCTCGCTAGGGACACTGCACTGCGTTGCTAAACCAAGCTGCAAAAGCATGGCGAGGAACAATCCAAACTCCTCGCCTGGGAAGCCACAGTAATATCACTCGTGATAGCACAATGCAATTGCTGGAATCGAGTATCAAAACATAGAACCGAATACGTTAATATGTGTATTTATATTATGCATGCATTTAAAATGGTCGTGGAATTATAGAAATACCACAGGAGCAAAAAGGACTTTTGGTTATAAATCATTGCAAATCTTTGCAAAATTGCGAGATGCCAAAAAACTAACAATCCTCGCAAATCGCTGCTTTTACATGCTTTTCATTCTTCACAAATCACACCAAGCGAACAATGTTTTTCACGCAAATCTATCCTCGCAAATTCTCCTCTACAGTAAATCAGCGCAAACGAACATAGTGTTAAAGTTCCTTCACTATTTGATGTATCTTAGAAGGGAAGCGAATGTAACTTTCTTTTATGTTATCCAATGAGATGTTTTCTATCAGACAATACTTTTGGTGCATCTACTCAAACTATTTTTATTACTTTCTTGAATTATAATTATATCATATTTTTCTTATTATTTGTTTATATTGATGAATTTTCTATTATCTATATTTCATTATTATTCTTATTTAATCATTATTATTTATTTTGATTATTTTCCAAACAAACACCACATATTTTCTAATAAAATTCTTGAATTATACCATTGATTCATGACTCTTGAAAGATGAAACATGAAAGATAACGAAAATAGCATTCCAAGTGAATCTGGTTTAGCTGTCCAGTGCCTTACGCAAACAAAAGTGCTGCTTAAAATGTCAATCGCCCGTTTTCAGAAGTAAGAATATACCAAAAGCTTACATATGAATCATTGGTCGATAACGCCGAAACTAACCAAAACAACAACACACGTACCAACCACTTCCTGCTACATACGTCTCAGATAAACCAAACTCCAATAAAAGTTTCAAAACAACAACCTGTTTAGAAACCCTTTCCTAACCCTGCAGTTTCATCACATGGGTGTCTCAAAATTTTCATCTTTTACATCATGAACATAGTAAAACCATCACGCTCTTACCAAAAGAAATTTTCAATTTTTATGCCGAGTTGATGCTAGTGCTAACTTTATCCCTCTTATAAGGTTCAATTAAATAATTCATGGCACCCTCTATTATTTTCTCTGTGTTGTGCCCTTTGTTGGTTTTGACATGTGGTTATGTGCAACCCCTTGAAGAGGGTTTCATCTCTGGGGTCATATCTGACAAGGGTCTCGAATATGCCAAGGAGTTGCTGATAGAGAAGGGTATTGCTTCCATTCTTATGCTTCAGCTGCCAGAGATTGAAAATTCTGCACAGGTTCCTCTTGTTGGAAATGCTAAAGTGGTTCTTTCTAACATCACAATTACGGATGTTCAGGTCAATTCTTCATCCGTTAAGACGGGAGAGAATGGAATTGTTCTTGTTGTTTCAGGAGCCATTGTTAATTTAAGTATGAGGTGGAGGTACACTGTCAGCTCTTGGTTAATTCCAATTGGAATTTCGGATAAAGGAACTGCTTCAGTGAAGGTACACAACTAAGAATTTTTCTCATGTTTATACTTTTCACTATCCCCTTTGGTATTTCTCTATGGCTGCAGTTGTAGAGCTTTGTTGAATGGTTGTTTACATGGTTGAATTGAACATTCAGAAGTTTTGGCTTTGTGAATCAAGTGGAAAATATTCTCCTGAAGTTGATTATTTTGTCACAATTGGTTAAAATATGTTGGAGTGGCCTTTAGTATTTTCTTGGAATACGAATTAAATCAAATTATGTTTTGTACTATGTTTCATTTTGTTCTGTACTATGTTTGAAGGTTACAGGTATGCAAGTGGGGCTTACAATAAATTTAAGGAACGAAGAAGGAAGTCTGAAGTTGTCTCTCTTAGATTATGGATGTTATGTGGGAGACATGTCTATAAAGTTGGACGGAGGTGTATCTTGGCTTTACCAACTGTAAGCAATCTTCTCGATCCATGTTTTTATGCAAAATAGACACTATTCACATTTTTTTTTTGGAGAACAATTCTTTGCTTGCTGGTGTTTTTACATTCTCTACTTCTTTGTTCTTTGGTCTAATGTGACTTGAATGAAAGAGAACAGAAAAAGCTGCTTCTATTGACTCTACAACAATTTTTTTCTTGGAAAGCAGAGTCACAGTTTATATATCATGTGAACATTTTCTGAAATTAAGCATATCAGTCTTTTGTTTACAACTGATTGTCAATATTCTGGCAAAGTAGTAGATTGCATCCATTTAGGATCAGTTTGCCAAGTGTAAAGTTTTATGTATTGCTGCCTCTTGAATGTGGTGAACTTGGATTAGAGAAAAAGTGTATCAATTCCACTTTATTGCCTCTTTTCTTGGTGAAGTAACTTGACTTCTTATGGAGATTGGTCTGTCCTTGATTTCACAAGACAGAAATAAGATGGCTCTTAACTGAAAGTTATGAAAATTATGCAGTTAATTTTTCTATTTGATATTTTTATTTTTCGTGTTATGCTCATATGTGTGTGTGTGTGTGTGTGTGTATATATATATATCAATGGTATTGTGAACTTGGCTAACAATATGGACTCCATACAATCATTTTCTTTTCATGATATTGTGAACTCGGCCAACATAATGGTCCCATATACTTCAGTGAAGATATTATGCCATTGACTTCTTTATGTTTGCTTCAGGCTAGTAGATGCTTTCGAAGGGAATATAGCATCTGCCATTGAAGAGGGAATTTCAGAGAAAATAAAAGAAGGGATAGTGAAGCTTGACAATTTTTTGGAATCTCTTCCAAAGAATATCTCACTAGACAAAACTGCTACACTAAATGTATCTTTTATTGGCAATCCTGTGTTGAGCAGTTCCTCCATTGCAATTGCAATTAATGGTTTATTCACAGAGAAAAAGGTTTTAGTACCTCAAGGTTACCACCAGAAAGAATTGAAGGTTTCTGCTGCCTGTGGTGGTTTACCAAAGATGATAAAAGTATCAATACATGAAAATGTGTTCAAATCTGCTTCCCAAGTTTACTTCAATGTAAGTTTCTGAATTGTTGAATTTTTAGCATGTAAGTTGGATGTTTTTACTTTATCATAGATTGAAATGTAGTTTCACAGTTTATGTTGTTTTTGTGCTCAGGCAGGTAAAATGCAATTGATTGTTGATCAACTTCCTGATCAGGCCATTTTGAACACTGCTGAATGGAGATTCATAGTTCCCGAATTATACAGGCGATATCCAAATGATGACATGCAGCTTAACATCTCTATGTCTTCTCCACCAGTTATACAAGTGACATATCAAGATGTTGGTGCAACTATACTTGTAGATATAACTATTGAGGTTCTTGAAGATTTTGAAGTCATACCTGTTGCATCCATCTCAGTGGTATGCCAAATAATGTCCAAAATAAGAACCAAATGGGTTTAATTTGATACCTAAAAATTCCTAAAATTAGCTCAAACTTCTCACATCAACTAGAAATAAGATAAATTTGTAGTATATAAATGAATGCAGACATTATTTTACAAGCTAGTTGAGTTAGGATGAAATTGGACTTCTTAACAGCAAGCTAAACATCATAATGCAATTCTTTTCAACATAGATATCAAGCTAGTGAACATTCAAACTTTTCCCTGTGTTATTCTCATATTGCTGCCATATGAAAAAACAAGTTACACTGACTAAAGTTTCCAAGTGACCTGTCATACTTTTTCTGACTCAGCATGTCCATGATATATATCTCTTTTATCATCATTAACCAATTATCACACTTAACAAGTTTCATTTTCCTTGCTTATGCTACAGGAAATCAGTACTTCATGTGCTGTAGAAATTGTAGGAAATGGCATTGTTGGTAGGCTAACATTACAGGAATTTTCTACATACTTGAAATGGAGCAAAATAGGGAAACTGCACATGCGTCTGATTCAGGTAAACCAGATTAAAACTAGTCTTACTTTTTCTAATTTCTAGTTTCAAATAATTGATTGCTAAAAAAAACTTAACCATTATGTATTATTCTTCAAACTAAAAGATAATCTTTATCTACTTTTGTCAACTTTTGCAGTCACTAATGTCAAGTGTCCTCAGAACTGTTGTCCTTCCATACTTGAACTTCAAATTAAAGAGAGGATTTCCATTACCAATAATTGATGGTTATGGCTTTCAGAACGCTATTATCTTGTACAACCATCCATGGATAGCAGTGTGTACTGATGTTTTCTTCTTAGAAGATTACTATTTAGGTCAACAATCATCTTCAGCTTAGTGTTTCATAGAATTAAAGCTACAGTACAAAAATTTGTCTGCTGTATTTTGTAGCAAGAGGTTGTAAAGTGTAAATATATGTATAGATATCTACCAAAACACAGTCATTTCTTATATTACAGAGCTAAAATATTTTATAATAAGAGATGGTTAAATAAAGGAGTAATGAATACGAAAAATAATATATAAGAAAGAAGACTCACTTGTACAAAGATTTTGAATTATAAGTAATGTTTACAACTCATTGAAGTTGAATCTTTCATCCGACTAACTAGTGTGGTGAATGTGAATTAAGTGTTCTTCTTTTGAGGCTTATTTTCACTTAATCGAATTCTCACTTGTAATCCTAACATAATTGTGATTTTTTTTTATAATTATTATTATATTCATAATTTAAAATTTCTTTTATTTTCATAAATAAATTACTGAATCTCATAATCTAAAGTTACAACTAAAATTTTTGTTATCATGCTTTTATAAATACAAACATTATGTAAGAACAATATATTTAATTGTGAAATAATTTTTAATAGTCACACTGACTTATTTGTTATTTGCTAGTTACGTTAAAGCACGGTATTTAAATATGATAAATAATTTAGCTTTGTTACATGTTATTCCGTTCTTTATTTTTAATTACATTTTGAATTTTTGGATTGAATCATTTTTAAAATCACTTATAGAGAAGTGATTGCTGAGAGGCCTCACAAATTAGATAAAAGGTTTGGAAAGGGAATGTTTCCTATGTTGACTAGCATGTATAATTGTATATGTATTTGTTATAGTACAATATAATGCTTGTAATCCCTTTTTATGTTCAAGATTTGTTAATTGTTCAGTAACTTTAGCTTAGAACAGGAAGAAGAAAGTGCTAAAATGAAGGATCTATGGTAATGGATTAGATTCCAAATGTTTCTTAACTTATTATGTAAACATATGTTATATTTTGGATAAATAAAAGGTTTAATCATCTCGAACATCCCTATTTCGGTAGGTTTTTCTCAAATAGGTCATCGTATTATAAATGTTCTCGATTAGGTCTCTTATTGTGAAAAATTGAATCAATTTAGATCTCACCGTTACTTATGTACTAACACCGTTAAAGGAGGTGACACGTGTCAGTTTGTGGTTTTTTTGAATTTTTTAATTATTTTTTATTTATTTTTAATTTTTAAAAAAAATAAATAAATAAAATGCCACATGTCAAACTGATATTGTGTCACGTGACAATGATAGTGTGACATGGCACTGACAGTGCCACATGTCATTGTCAAACCACGTGTCATTGCATTAGTCTCAATTTGGTCCCAATTTGGTCCCTGTATTTTTACTTGTCTCAAACATGTTATGTCACTCTTTTTTTAAACCCTTATAGTTATATTTAAATAACATAATTAACATTTATATGATTAAGTAAATATAAATATAATTAAACTTAATCTTGTTAAAAATATTTAACAAAAATATCAGTTTTAATAAAAAAAATTTGTTAACATTTATATACAATTTAAATTTTATTTGAATTTGAGGAGGGACAAAATTGTTTAATTTTTAAAATTAAGACTAAATTGAGACAAAATAAAAATACAGGCATCAAATTGAGAAAGAATAAAAATACAGGGACCAAAATGAGACTAATATAATGACATGTGACCTAACAATGACACGTGGCACTATCAGTGCCATGTCACACTGTCATTGCCACGTGGCATTTTTTAAAAAATAATATTTAAAAAAAAACTAAAAATAAATAAAAAATAATTCAAAAATTCAAAAAAATCACGAACTGACACGTGTCACCTCCTTTAACGGTGTTAGTACAGAACTAACGGCGAGGTCTGAATTGATTCAATTTTTCACAATAAGGGATCTAATCGACAACATTTACAATACGAGGACCTATTTGAGAAAATGGTATGGATATTCGAGATGATTAAAGCTAAATCAAATAGTAATTTTAACCATTGTTACCTAATCTAAACTTTTTCTCTTAACGAATTTATGCTTTCCGTGAATATGAACATACATGCTTCCTCTAAAATCAGAAGTTAAAGAAACTTTATCCGAACTGAATTATAAATATAAAAATATTAATGTTTTTTAGTCACTCGTCAATTAACTGAGATTTTATTTTGAATAACTCTTCTTTTATTTTAATATGAAGTTTATGAAGGACAATAAAAAACCTCATATTCTAAATGTGATATTATTATAGTTAAATAATAGGTATTAACTTATTGGTTAATTAGTACAATAATTAATTGATTTTCTTTATATCAGGTCATATACATGAAACCAAAAAAAAATATATTAAATACACATAAAAAGTGGAACATGTAAAAGGTGAACCTATACATATATTCGTTTTTTGCATCAAACTAGGCAAATATGCCTTCAATATTACTAAAATGGGCAAATTTTCACCCAAAGTGCAGTCGTGGGGGCCAAAACGACTTCAAATGAAGAAGTCGTGCCCCCCCTGCACGACTTCACACTGTTCATGAGTTCAGTGTTGAAGTCGTGCACCCCAAAAACGACTTCTGTGTGCTGTAATCGATTATAATGTACTGGTAATCGATTACAGAGTGTTGAAATCGTGACCCCCCTGCACGACTTCAAATGAGAAGGCAGAAAACGTACTGGTAATCGATTACAACACTTCTGTAATCGATTACCAGTGTGTTTGTGGTCCAAGAACCACTCTGGTAAGCGATTACAATGTACTTGTAATCGATTACCAGTGTGTTTTTGGTTGGTTTTTGAAAATGATTTTTCATTTTACATATGTTATGTATTGGTTGTGTTATAAGAAAAGAGAAAATAAATATTAATAAGAAATATTAATAGTAATATATCAATAATGGATTTGATTACAATTGGGTAAGATTAAGAAAAAACTAATGACGAAAGGGACAATTTCCCCTATGATGACCTTCGTTGCGGCAGTAAGAGCATTTTTTTGGCTTATCTGGATTGGATTGATCCATTTCATTATGAAGCCTATTTGTAGATGGTCTTCCGGATGCCTTGCGTCGCATTTTAGGATCTGGTATGAAGTTTGGACCTGTATACGCAGACCAATAATTTTGATTTTGGATTGGGTGAAATTGTACTTCGTATGCCTTGAAAATGTTGTTAAGACTGTACTCTGGATCGATTACTTGGGTTAGTGGGATATGCGAAAATGCATAAACAGCAATGACATGATGACATGGGAGACGAGTAGCCTGGAAGTGACCACAATCACACCACCATTCATTTAGGCTGACCTTGTAGGAAAGTGGAACAGGGCGGTAGTAGTGAGGTGTTGAAATTTCCTGAACATCAAATTCAGAATTTTCACGGTTGTAGCGATGAACATGACAAAATGCGGATTGTTGTTGATTTTTCCTAATGATGTCGGCGATTTGTTCAGGAAATTGGTGTCCTGCTTGTAGCATACAGTTCGCCTTTAATCCCCGTTCAACAAACCATGATTGTGTCCTCTCAAATGTTGTTCTGATGAGAGCACATATTGGTAATGAACGTGCTCCCTTTAAAATGGAGTTGGTGCACTCAGCAAGATTAGTCGTCATATGTCCATATCTTCTCCCTCCATCAAAAGCCTGAGACCATTTTTGTAATGGGATTTTATCTATCCAATCAACTTGTTGTGGGTATTGGTTTCTCAATGCAGCAAGTTTTGCCGTCAAAGTTGGTTGCTTGACCTCGTAAGCTGTAATGATGTAATGAATAAATAAATTAAAGAATAATGTTAACAAAATTATAAAAGTATAAATGTATGAAGAATGTTTGTAGTAGTACCTAAATTGATGAATTGTTTTTTGAGGTCCTGATTTTTGAATCTGTTGTTGAAGTTGGATGCTAGATGACGTATGCAATAAACAGAGTTCATCCCATCTTGTTCCCAACCAACTTCTTCCGATCTCAAGGCCGATAGGATACCCTTTCCTCTGTCAGTGATGATGCAAATATTTTGTTGATGGCAAACATGTTCTCGAAGTAGTTGAAAGAACCATATCAAGGCCTCCTTTGTCTCACCTTCTACAATGGCAAAGGCCAATGGGAAAAGATTTCTATTGCCATCTTGAGCTATGGCGGTGAGCAAAGTTCCATGATATTTACCCGTTAGAAATGTACCATCAACTTGGAGAATGTGTTTACAGTATTTGAATCCTTGTATGCAAGGACCGAAAGACCAGAAAACTCTTTCCATAATATAGCAATTATTGTCGGTTTGTCCATCAATCTGCACTGGAGAACCAGTGCATTGTAAAATTGTACCTGGGTTTGCTTCCTTGACGGCATGCAACCACCTCGGCATGTGGTTATAAGAGTCCTCCCAGTCTCCAAACTCCATAGCAAGAGCCTTTTGTTTAGCGATCCAAGCTTTTCTGTATGACACAGAATATCCGAATCGACCTTTAATATCTGCAATCAAACTCTTGATTGGAATGGATGGGTTTGTCCGGATTGAATTTGATATGATCGCGGCAATGTGAGTACTATCAAGATTTGTATGATCTTCAGATAGTATTGTTGAGAAACACGAATGTTGTCCGTCTATATTTTTGATTTCCCAATATTTACGGACTTTGCTATAAGCTGCCCTCAAACGCCATTGACAATCGTTGTGATATTTCACACAACGAATAACATAAATGTTGGGCTTCGATTCAACGACGGTGTATTTGTAACCGTTGGTTATGTGATAATGTTTGATTGCAGCAATAGTTTCGTCCTTTGACTGGAACTGCATACGTTCATTCAACTCTACAACGACATGTGCAGATGATTGTGTGATGTGGTCGTCGTTGATGTCATCTTCAAGTATGTTGTCTAATTCATCATCGGTGCTGAAGTCATCAACGTTATCTAATATCAAAGGTTGTTCGTCGATTAATTGCGATGATGAAGATGCTGGAAAGTTCCCTGATGCCATAATGTTATAGATGTTTGGGAGAATATGTAAGATTGGAGTAGAAGTACAGCTCTTGGGCGTGGAGTTTGGATGCGAAGATGGATTTGTTAAAGACTGATATATAGATATATATAGAAGTTGTGGGGAGGGGAAGGTTACTTTTTATAACTGGTAACTGGTTCTTACGGTGTAAAATAGGAAGTAGTGAACAATAATATAGCATTGTCAATATAGCACTGTAATATATGTATATAGACTTCC